TATGATTCCTTTGATAACCAAAGAAAGTTTCTTATCAGGAAATGAAAGTTACAGCCAATCATCCATAAAGAAGCCATATACTTCCAACCAACTTGTTACAAAACCTACATCAAAACACTACTATAGTAGTGAAACTCTGTTATTTGATCTCCTCCATAAATAAAAGCAGACCAGGGGAATACTCAAAGTACAAAATGAGTGTGGGAACTCAAAAGAGAAGCTGACAAACAGCAAGAATGCAGTAATCTTAGACACATGGACTAGTATATATGCATATATAGTAGGAGAACAAACTCACTGTTAAAGTTCTATCATCAAATTAAAGGGGAGTTACCATAACATCAAGGCAACATAACAAAGTTATCCTATAACTTTCTGAAATAAAGCAGTTTTCAAACACAGTTTAAGACAGCATTTAAAAATGTCTACTGAAGAATTCATAATTTTGCAATCAAACAAGACAGTGTTGTCAGGTGTTTTGAAGAAATTTAACTGGCACAAATATTTTCAGATTCCCTTGGTGGTCTCAGCTGCAGAAGACAGTGCTCTACCAGGTTAACTACTGCTGTGCCTTGTACAACTTGAAAATCTTTTAACACATATACAAGCCAACAAATGCACTCCCAGAATTAATTATGCCTCAAACTACTTCCTTTGGGAAGAGAAATGGAATTTTTTTCCCAGGTCTCATTTTTATGTTCTATTACCAATTAAAAAAAAAAAAAAAAAGTGCTGGAGGTCAGTGTATCTGCACACAATTCTTACATCTGCTTCCTTGTCCTACTGATCCATTTCAACAGGGCATAGGCCATGATTAATCTAAAATGCTTGCAGGAAAAAATCTAAAGCCTTGCAGCAGCTCTGTTAACTGTAAGGCACTTCACAGTGAATACCTCATCTCACACAAATAGTATCTAACAGTACTAGCTGATCCTCATTCTTATGTTACTGAGGGAGCAGTGGTTCCTACTGACACCTTAGAAGCACCCACTCAGAAGCAAAATATTCTCTGAAATGCAATGTCCATTACAGCACCTAGTTACAGAAAGCTTTGCTTCTCTTTGCCAAAGCTGCATTGTGTTTAGGAATCTGACATACCCTTTCCATGGCAGGTGACAGGTGAAAAGAATTACAGCTATGCCTCTAAAGACAAACAGGCTTCTGGTTACTAAACTGCAGAAACTGGGAAGGCTGCTTGGTGTCCTGGGCGAATGGGCTTGCCCTAAGACCACATTTCAATTTCAGGATAATTTTGTCAGAAGATTTCTGACCTCTCCCATCAGAAGCAGGCTGTCTGCTTCTTACTCACTGGTGCCCAGTCACTGCCCCTGCTTCTCTCCACTCTTTTGGAAGGCTCAGAGGAGCTGTGAGTCTCATCCCTCCAGGCCTGACTGAATTTCCATCTCGTACCTTTTAGCTTCCATGCCTACAGCTATAGCCAGTTCATCAGCTATTCACCCTAGCTGATTCAAAAGGGTCTGATCTCTTATTGCAAGCCATTCCCAACTGCAGCTTTGACAGACGAATGGTGAAATAGTGTAACTCCCCAGCAAACAGCAAGGGCACCAAGGGAGCAGGCCAGGTCTTTGATAAATGGTAGAGAGCCTCATTAAAGACTTAGGGGAATGCTCTAGATACCAGCAATCCCAGCCATTTCAGCTGTGGTTTCTCCCTGTTCTGGGTCAATGGCGTGCCCTACAACACACAAGTCTGGCCCCATAAGCAAGACCTGAGCAGGGGCAGCATCTTTCAGGCTTACAGCGACAATATATGTGCAGAGCTGGTGTTTGGAATGGACATGGAAAAGGGTGAGGCACTCAACCAAGATGAACAAGAGCCAGCAATGTGCCCTTGTGGAAAAGAAGACCAAAGGCCTCCTTCGCTGTATTAGGAAGAGCATTGCCAGCAGATCAAGGGGGTGATCCTTCCCCACTATTTCATGCTGTCAAGGTCATATCTGGAGAGCTGGGTCCAGTACTGAACTCCCCGGCACAAAAGAGATATAGACATACTGTACAAAATCCTGTGAAGAGTCTTGAAGATTATTGAGGGAGCAGAGCATCTGTCATATGAAGAGAGGCTGATAGAACTAGTATGGTCAGCCTGGAGAAAAAACGTCTGAGGGGGATCTTATTGATACATCATGGTGCTGGGGTAGCCAGACATTTCTCAGTTATGTGCAGGGAAATGACTTGGGGAGGGTGGACATAAATTGTAATACAAGAAATCACATTTAAACATAACAAAAATTAAACTTTTATTTATTTGTCTGTTTGTTTATTGTGAGGGTGACTGAACACTGGAATTGGTTGCCCAGAGAGGCAACCCTGAAGATACTCAATATCCAACTGGACAAACCCAGGAGAAATTCACTCCATTTGACCCTGTTTTGAGCAAGTGGATTGGACATGGTCATCTCCAGAGACCCCTCCCAACCTCATCCTCACCACAGTTCTGAGAAATTAGTTAAACAGCTACTAATCAATCTTTTACAGAAGGGTGGAGTAAGAATTGGTGACTGTATTTTTTAGGTTATTTCTGCAGTGTGGATTCGATATCCTATTAATTGTTTCATGAGTTCAGAAGCTGATGATAATTTTTATAACACTACATGTTTTAGGTGAAAAATGCCAAGAATCTTCAATAAGCAGTTTTTAAATATGTGTGGCATAAACCAAAATTAGTATGTGATTTAAAAATAGAGATGGCATCATTATATCAATCCTCCTCCCTACTTGTATGTGACTGCAACTAACGATGTCTGCCTGAAAAAAAAAATTATAACACTTTTGGAGATAAAGTGACTGTTCAAAAAGGGAAGCTTCCAGCATAAATTATTCGTAGTGTGAATGTCTTGATCACTTCAAGCTTAACAAGAACTACCTTCATGAAACTCTGCCACATTCACTGGAAGTAGGTATGTGCTATCTGAAGCTCAGGTTTTCCTTTATGGCTGCATGCTTCTAAGCACGCAGTCTCAGAATGAACAGGGCATCTCTTCCATTTGTCACACTGAAGGTGTTTCGGACTATGTATGTTTCAAAGCCATGTGCAATTTGACTATAATCCCATTCCTGGACATTAATATCCAAATAAAGTGACCAAGCTTGTACCCTTTGGCTGACCACTTGCACGATTTATTTCAACAGTAAGAACAAATATGATGCCCGCTGGACCTCCACCAGGGGAGAGGGGCTTCTCTTTGTAAAACTGGCCTACAAAACTGGTTTGGTGCTGCCAAACTGCCTCCAAATCATAGCAACAGTATCACTAGCTCTCATATATCAGGTCAAAACTAGCATACTAATCATATGTTAAATATTGAGATCAGGTGTTCAGAGCATACATGTATAGGACAATGCTTCTGGAGGCATTCTGCTATGCTGCCTGCCCTCCTGTAAGGTTGCTGTATGGCAGGAAGGCCAGCAGTCTGGCTGCCCTTGAAGGGCAATCGAGCCTGACTGCGCTGAAGCTAACTCTAAGCCAGTATCTGAACTTTCTGATTTGGGAACAGACTGTACTTGGGCTCTCCTCTAAAGAAGGAATCAGAGACAGGACTTCCAGGCAACAATTCAGACAAGGAAGCTCACCCTTTGATAGTGGCTATTCATTTTGCCTATACAGACTAAAACAAAGATGTTTCTAGTCTACATATTTCAGATAGATATAAAAAAGCTGGAAAAGATGAATATGGGCCTTGAAATGATACACATTATGTTTAGTTGATATCAGCAAAATGCAGCAAGGAGCATGTGAAACAAATATTACTAAAACAAAGTAACTGTTTTATACTTCAGCATTATCTTAGCACATAAACTGTTCCAAAGAAAACACAACGGTTACACTGAAGAGACCTTGTCATCCTGCACTACGCTATGTTCAGTCTGTGAAAGACTGAGAAATACCTGAAATCTTGCCATTTTGACATTTTTCTAGAAATAGATCAACAGTCAGAATACTGCTTTTCACAGAGCACCCCTCTTGCGCTCTGTGGTAATATATGTCCAGCTACAGCAGAACGAAAACCATCTCATTTCTCACCTCTCAAATGGACCAGATAATACAGAATTCAGATCAGTCTGTGTTTTTCATTAAACTGGACATGTTTACAAGTCAGATGAAAGCAATACTTGCTCAAATGACCTCCTTTCCTCTGCTTGGAAGATTTATTGAAGGCAATATAGAATGGCAACAATAGTCAATCATAGGTGGCAGACTGCCCTTTTATTAGGCATACTGAAGCCAATTAATCTAAGCGAGCTTTCTCTCTTTACCTCCTGAGGGCACGTACTGTTAGAATGCGTTTTAAAATTCTGCAGCAATAAATAAAGGTGCTGAAACTATTCATTTGAACTTTGAGAAATTATTTACAGGGACTCGAGATACTAAGTATTAACACTGTACTCTGCTGGGCAAAGTGCCTCCTGCTGTAATTTGACTAGATCCAAGATTTAAAAAATAAAGCTCTAAAACAAGGTTTTATTTGTACAGCCATCCTCAGGGACAGCAAGAAGAGAAAGGAATGCCTGCAAGAGGAGGTAAAAGCAGCAGGAAATCTGCCTTACAATGAGTAAAGAATGCTGAGTTAATCAAAGTCTTCAAATAAAGTTGCAAGGGAAGGTGGGCTAGCAAAGGAGGGACACGTTTACAACAGAGAAGTAATCAGTTATTGGGACTTAAATCAGAAATGTCAAATTATCTGCCATTTATAGGAGATACTAAAGATCATTTGAGGTGAAAAGCAAGTCTATAATATTCTTATTAATTATGAAACATCAAAACCCAAGACATCTTAATTCATGTTCTCATTTTTGCAGTCCATGTGTTTCTAATTAGAACTGCTGTAATGAGTTCACTTGGGAGGCATATAGGAAAAGTGAGTAACTTTTGAGCAGCAGCTTCCTCTTTTAGGGCACACAGTTAAAACTCCCCTTCGTTCTTGGATTACCTCAAGCATCCTTCTTGCATTACCTTCACCATAAATTCAATAATAATCTTACCAGTTTCACAGCTGGGGCCAGTGAAGCCTTGTGGGCAGGCACACACATTGGAAGCAATACAGGCTCCTCCATTCCTGCACCCATCTTTGCAAAATGCTGAAATAATAAAAGCATAGAAATTAACAAAGCTACACTCAGTATCTATGCAGGTGTCCACAGGGCTCTGGCAGACAGACAAAATGCAGTCCCTGCAGCACCCAGCACAGAGGCTTCTTTCTCCTAAGGACAGAGGTCACTAAGGGATGGTTTATAGCCCCCCTGCCTCACTGGCCAGATGGGCTGACAAGCTACAGAAGGAGATTAGTGTAAATCATCTGAAGACAACAGCCCACATACATACTTCTTCCCATGCACTGGGAATCAGTGAAGGGCAGCATATTCCCTTGGAACAGACTTCGTAGGGCAGTGTTGTTCTTCTGTGCTTCCCAAGTAAATGCCTGAGCACAACAGGCACAAATGAGCACTAAATCAGCTGGCTACCCTCTTCCTTGATTCAGAGACTAGATTGAAACAATAAAAATAGCAATTTCTCTCAAGAGATTGTGAAGAACTCAAAAACATTTACCATTTACAGTTTGAAGTCAATCCCTGGATTTGTTTGTTGGCACACTGCAATCTGAGAAGCTGTGCTCATGTATTTAGGCATTTCAGCTTTCTCCAGATTTAGTTATAAATATGTGCATGCATTAAAGAAACTCCTCTGCTCACAGAGAAATGCAACTAGTTCTGATGCAAACCACAGCAGCTGTTTAATTGCTGATTGTATCTGCAATACAGAATGAGCAATGCTCTGGTCACAAGAACCTACAGAGAACCGAGGTGAGAGGAGGTGGACGACAATTATCACTAAGCTCTCCAAACTGTGAAAATCTGGGCACACTGTGCTTGCCTTGCATCTGTGACCAGCCACGGGATGAGGTCTTAAACCTCATCTGAGAGTGGCCGTAGGTGTTATTAATTTGAGCTTTCCAGGTCTCAGTTCTGAGGCACCAGTCTGGCTGGTGTGAGACCCCAGCATTGGGACATCTAAGCCTCCTGGTGCAAACAACCCAGAGCAGCAAGCACAGCACATGAAAAGCTGCCAAACCCCCAGAGACAAGAAGCACGTCCAGCTCCCTCTGAAGGACACAACCTAGCATCCAAGCTAGGGTTACAGAGAATGGGATACATAGGCTGCGAGCCTTCTCTTGAACCCTGCTTTTAATAGCAAAAAGGAGGGGAAGGATGCACTTCTACAGTGGGGCCAGGTAGCCCCTGAAATATTAGATCTGCATTCAGTGCCAAAATAGGGTTATGCATCTGGTCTTTGTCACCTTTTTGTAAACTGATAGACCTTCAACTGTGAGCTGCACAGGCTGAGCAGCAGCTGTGGGTTTGAACTTTCCCCAGCTAACTTGCTTTTCCAATTCCCCAGAGGAGGGAACACAGCATAAAAGGGGGCATTTGCTCTCTCTACCCATATGTTTCACTGGATGCAGGCATGAAGGTGTTTTACAAACTGCGCATTTATGTGAAGAATATTTAGAAGAGTCACACTGTGACTCAGGTGAAGGAAAAGCTAGTGCTAAGATCATCAGTAGGCTTAGCAATCAGATGGTTGCTTAGTCGTGATAAATCAGCAGCACAATTGCATCATTATCAATGTTAACTGAGGCCCCTTAGCGTCTGACACCTAAGACATCACACGGATTAGTGCAATTTCAAGGAAGCACTGGGTATGCTGTTGCTGCAGTTAGACCACCTCTTGTGTCTGGCCAGCTTCTCTACAACTGCACTACTTTTCTTGTTGGGCATCCTGTGCTAGGAGTCTGAGGACTTCCAAGGATTTGGGTCCAAGTATCATCTCCTCTCATGTGAGATGCAACAGAAATAAAAGCAGCATTTCATCTCTGGAAAACCATTTTCCTAAAGCAGTAATATGACTTCTAATGTTTACCAGGGAGTGAGAGTGCTAGGAAACAGGGCACCACCTCATCTGTGGCAAAGGGTTTGTGCAAACATGTCTACCACTTTTCTCATTTGAAATAAAAAGACACAGCAAACTAAATAATTTTCACTTCACCCAAGCAATATATCAAGTGTGGACATTGTAGGTCTCAATGCCCAGCCTACCATTTTGTCTGTCTTCTTCAAGGTATACAAACAGATATGCATTAATCATGACAAAGCACCTCACCCAGTTCAAGGAAAGCTGAACCCCCAGGATTTCAGCAGCTTACCTTTACACACGGTACCATTTCCTGTGTAACCCAGCTTGCAGACACAGTTGTGCCCACCCACAGTGTTGAAACAGAGAGCATTTTCATCGCAGTTGTGCTGGTTTGTTATACATTCGTCATGCTCTGAAAAGTGAAACAAGAATGGGACACTTTTGAAGCTTCACACCACAAAAAAAATGAAAGCTTTTTAGTAAGAGATTAACACAGTAGTAGTTAGTGATGACACAGCTATGTGCACATGTAACAATGGGATAAGCAGAGTACACAGTTTTAAGACATGCAACTGTGCAAGGGCTGTGTTGGAGCATAACTCCACTTTCATTAATGGGAAGCAATCATCAATACATTTTCCATGTGGGCTACAAGATTCTTGTAAATATTTGCCAAAGAGATGGCTAACATACTGCAAATCCATATGCTAGTTCTTATGTATAATTTATTCACACAGGCTTATCCTATGCAGGATTCATAGGGTTTCCTGCAGAAAGCTGACTAATGGTGTGTGTCACGTGCTCCAAGCTGCAAAAAATATGGTTAGCAGAAAGCTGGACTTCAAAACGTAGCCTTTTTTTTCTTTTGCTTCAGTGCATTCAAAGCTCTTTATTTTGGATGAGCTAAGTAACCTAGGAACAAAGGTCTGACTGCTCCTTAGAGTAAGGAACTTTGGTCACGGTGTGCTCTGAGATAGAAATCCTCAGTCTGGTGACACTCTGGGAAAATATCCCTTTGGGGAATAAATTCAAAATATGGACAATATGATTTTGTGTAAACTTGAAATGTACCATTTAGCCTGAAACAAACAAGTATTTGGCAAGCGTTTCCACTGGTGAATGTTTTAATGTCTTAGTTTGTGATTTGTTTCAAATGGAAAATGCAATTTCAAAATGAGGTGCTCTAAAGTGTCATTTCCATATGTCACGTGAAATGCTCTAGTATATTCAAAATGCATTTTTATTTTTTTTTAATTAACAGCATTCATCCAAGCATAAATGACTTCAGACCCCCTGAAATTTTATTTTCAGGAAAACTGTCTGTTTGGGGAACATCCAGGTACGTAACTTGAGTCAGCACACATGGGCCAACCTGCATGTGAGGTTTCCATAGCCATCATTCTGTACAGGTTTTAGAAAAAAATTTTTAGTGCAGTTTATGGCAGTTCTGGATGTCTGACACAGGTCTTAAATCTGGAATTGGATGCTCTTTCTTCCCTAGTCTTGGCTGTTACACTGCTCTGAATCTTCCCCTTTATAAATAAAAGCTGAAGTCTGCACACACCCCACAGGGTTGTCAAGAAAATTAATTTGTTAACATTTGCAAATCACTATGGAAGAGTTCAACTTGCTATTTCAATACTGGCCATAAACCACAGGAGTATAAAACTGGCAGAATGGCACATCCCTAGCTTATAACTAGATATAAATTGTCTTGTAGCAATGGTGAGTACCTGTTGTTTAAAAGAGGGAAAAATCACCAAAATTAAAATATATTATTTTAAACACTGCACAGGTTTGTTATGGTATTTTTGTTGTTTTGTGGTAGTTGTTGTTTGTGGGTTTTGTTTGTTTTGTTATTGTTGTTCCATTTATTTCTTTCTTTGTTTTGTTTTATTAAACCAACCATTTCTCCCTCTTCTAGACAGGGTCTTGCACATCTCATACCGTTACCAACACTCTCATCAGCCCTCAGCATGGAGGCCCTGGCACTTACTAGGCCAAGTCCCTTACTGGATGCAGCCAAGCACAGGCTGCAGGCCTCTGCCCTGAAGCATGAGATTTAATTACTTTGCTCTCAGCATGAATATCTAAAACTGTTATTGTTCACCAAATGATCCGGCACCTCAAAATCCAGTTACAATATTTGACTCCAACCTCCTACCACACTAAAATCTCTCATGCTGGCTGAAGCAGTATGTATGCTAGATCAGGCCACAAAATAAAAGAAAGGGAAGTCATGACTATGGAAATGAGGTTAAAAGTGTTTTCTATACCATAATAATATTCTGGCTTTCTAAGTTTGTGTTAATATTATGATATTATTTAAATATAGTGTGCTATTTAATAACATGTATATGTATACAAATATATATCATTTTCTCATTTTTAAAGGTTTTATATACCATACAACAGGAAAATATGGAAATCTGAGAAACATTATGCACTCAGCAGGCCAAAATATCTTGCAAAGCCATTATCTTTATATCTCAGGAGGCAGGGTACATACAGCAATACATCACACTGGTAAACTCAGCTCAAATCGCTGCGTTTGGCAAATTAAATATCATGCTCAATGAGAAAGTGCTACCATCCACCCCATGCCTTGGGGATGCAGCAGCATCCCCAGCATGCACGACAGCTCTTTACTATGGGTAAGAGCTTATTAGAGAAAAGCAGCTGGAGGCAGACTGACACCCAGAGGAGCAGCTGTAAGGGCATACCCAAGTGCAGCTCTGAAAGCCCACAAGAGACCCAAAGGCAGGGGGAAGCTGTGTCTGCCTTGCCAAGTGAACTTTCTGTCGGTGTTCCAGTACAGATATGGATAACTCCATCTTGCAGTGCTGGGGGTTTAAAGACCATTTGCACAGATGTATGACCTTTGTAGGAAAAGGAATACTCATCCTTAAATGCACCTTCCAAACATTTACTCTCCAGGCTAAGAAAACCTACTGAGTCTTTTAAGATGGACTTGCTTAAAGCATACATTACCAATAAAATTAATGGTCTATTAGCTAAATAAGAAAGCTTGGATTCAAAGATAACATGCTTGGTTTCCTACTTTTGCTGTAAGAAACTCCAGTACTTCATATCCTCCTGTAAGAAAGCTTTTGTAGGATGTCTGCTGACATTTCGGGAAGAGGATCCAGTTCTCAGCCACAGAAATAGACGTGTGGTCTCTTTTGATACAGTTTGGGTTATGTGTTCAATCTTGAGGTCTATTTTTCTTTTAAACAAAATACTAGCATTTAACAACTAACAAAAAAAGCATGGTCCTGATAAATGATTTTTGGAGTGAAGATTACATGTCACTAGTTAGGGGGAAAATGCCCCAGAGTAACAGGAAAATTTGTGATTCTATTAAAGGAACAGACAGTTTAAAATTATATGAATAACAAAAAAAAATCAGGAAAAAAGAATCTGGGTGTTCTACCTTCCACCTAGATGTTGGCTTGGGTTCAATAACACAGTTTAAACCATTTAAACATAGTATTTCATATTCCTTCCATACTTCTTCATACTTGCTTAATATACATGTATATTGAGTGGCACCTCAGAGAGCAATCAGGCTGCACTGCATGATTGTCTCTGATACGGACTGATGGTTAAAATACAGAGGAAAAATTCCTGCACATAGAGCTTCTTAAGACATTCACTCTTCTAATGTATGGCACACCACCCACAGCAGTTTTGACAAGACCATCAGAAACAGCTTTAGCCAGAATTCTCTATTAATAACAAGGTATGACTCTCCAGCTTTATTAAAAGTATAAATACTTGATTGTAATAAAAAGGGTGGTGCTCTGTTGATAATTCTTTATTAATTCATTGTCCATCACTTTTTTTTTTTATTTTTTTTTTTTACTGAAACATCCAGGAAGTTATCTTAAATAGATAGGACATTGAGGAAACTGAGTTCAGAAATCTCAAATGCCAATCCATGAACTGTAGAAGATAGAACTGTGCATTACAAAGAAGCTAATAAACAATTCCTAAAATAATCATTTGAAGAGAACTGTGAATATGGATTCTTCTACTTTCTGAATTTCAAAAATAAATAGAATCATTATTTGCATTATTTAGAAATGTCAGTATTGCCCAGGTATATTTCTTATGCTCTAAGAAGAAGCAGTGAGGCCATTTATTTCAAGCATCTTTGGAAATTATGTGAAACACATTTAACAAATGTCCCATACTTATTTCAGTGCACATCATAATGATGACGGGGACAGGACCGTATAACAGTATTACAGAGGAAAGGAAATAAAAATTACTTTTCCAGAGAGATTTAAATGATCAACACACCCAAATTTACATAAACGTTCAATAAAGACCAAAAGCACTAGTTTCAGTGATTATTTCTAAAGCTGTATTATCTAATATATCCAAAATCCATTTTGTACTGGCTAGAAATCTATGCTCAACAGTGCTAAAATTCATAACATTTCTGTTCTGAGAATCAACTTAAGTTTTAAATGCAGTATTTATATTGACTAAATTATGTCTAAAATGAGCTCTTTCTAGATACAAAATATTTTTCAGCTCCATCATCTGTTATATTCCACAGTAATAATAACAACACTAGGTGCACATGAAAGCTCCATTAAAAAAAACATAGAATGTTCATTACGACACAGACAAGTTAGAGTTGCAAAAAATATTTAACAATATAATTAATTCAATTATGAGCATTTGATTGTGCATCAAACACGTTACACACACACACACACGTACATACATATATTTACAGAAAGTAAAGGTGATGTGTTTTATTTCACAATACTATGTGGTTTGCTGTACAAAAACTTTATAAGATTATTGAGGGCGAATAACAGCATTTTCAGGATATAGTACAGACCCATTAGACCTTATTATGTACAACAGAGCAATGGCAACCGGGGGGGGGGGGGGGGGGGGGGGGGGGTCCATTTTACTAATTTTATTACCCATGCAGAGATTTTTGCAGAACTCAGTAAAAGTTAACACACTGTCTATGAGGTGTGTCACCTATCTCCTCCTCCTCTCATTTTCCTAGTGCTGTGCAACATCAGCCTCTATTCTTCCTACCGTGTATTTCATTATTAAAAATAAACAGAAGATCTATATAGCATTTCCCACTTGTGTACTGCAAGCCCCTACCAACTTTGCAATATTTATCTTGTGCATCCAAATTCTGCAAACATCTGAGGAAAAAAAAATAAAGAACAAATAGAATCCAATCCGACAGCAAAAACAAATTTTGACTGAGCTGCATCACTTACTTATGGGTAAAGAATATTATGCTGTCAGTTTTCCCAAACCATTCATTACTAACATTGGAAAGTAAGAGATCACTTTTGAGGCACAGAAGTGCATAAAATTTCTGAATTCTTGAGCTCCAGTTACTTTTTGTCACCTGTCTTACTCCCATTG